ACACCACCCAACAACCCACACAAAAAAAAAAAAAAAAAAAAGAAAAAAAAAAAAAGGGCCCTTTTAACAAAAAAAAAAAAAAAAAAAAAAAAGGGTACAGATGAACACAGCACCTGAGAACATATACATCGAGCACTAATAATATGGATTTCTAGGCAATGCACATGGTGCTGCTTCTTTTTCCTGTCTGTATTTTCTATTTTTCTGAAAAAGAAAATGCTTGAGAATCAAAACCTTTTAAAACACGCATGCTGCCCAGTCAGACTTTTGATTTTTATAATTAAAAATGAGGTTAGTTTGTGTACTAAACACTGTCTCTAGGAGATCTGGGGATTAAAATGATGTCTCTCTGTAGAGATGAATTGTGTGGTGGCTTCTCATGGATTCTACTGTGGGTCAAAGGTGACCATTCACACCTGGAGTAAGGAATGGCTCTGAAATCTACACGTTTGCATGTAGCTGCTCTAATCATAGAAAGTTAGGGGTTATGCAACCACATTGACACAAGAGATATGAAAATGACAGAAATACTTAGCAACATTTGAAAAAAAATAAAAATTAACACCAAATGTCTAATAAATCAATCTGACCTAAGTTATTGTTTCTTTTTCCCCAAAATATTAGGGGAAAAGTTAGGTATGGTGACCCATGCCTTTAATTCTAGGACTTGGGAGGGGTGGCAGGAGGATCAGGTGCTCAAGGCCAGCCTCAGCTACACAGAGAGTTTGAAGTCAGCCTGGACTATGTGTTAAAACAACAACCCCTACAAGAAAGGTAATTCTCCTGTTAGCATGTTTAACCTATGAAACCCTGAACTGTGGCTTCTCCTGTTAGCATGTTTAACCTATGAAACCCTGAACTGTGGCATGCAGAAGGTAATAACAGCGCAGACTAGGAGCTGGTGTGCACTGTGGGGCTGGAATGCAGCCTCTGTGCAGGCCCAGTTCTCTATCAGGCTGTGCAGACCCTGCTTTGCACTTCTCTCCATGAGTGCCTTGCCTTCTTTTATCGTGGTTATTAATTTTTCTTTATTACATTTATTTATTTAGCATGTGTATGTGTATGTGTGTGCGAGATGTGTGTGGAAGTCAGAGGACAATGTGAAAGTGAGTCCTCACCTTCTACCACGTGGGTCCCGGGGCTTGAACTCCAGTTGTCAGGCTTGGCAGTAAGTGTCTTTATCCACTGAGTCATCTTGCCAGCCCCATGACTTGCCTTTTGATTCAATTGTCTTTGCATGAATGATACCATCTACACAATGGCAGCAGCTACAGTGCCTAAGGTTACTATGAGGATTAAGGAGTTAGGGAGGAAAACCTCCAAGTCTTGTTTAAGGCAGAACAGGCAATCCACAGACATCATCATGCACAGTATCCCCATGCTAGGTACAGGGAGCTTTGCAATGCGTTGCTTCCTTTCTCCTTTCATCACTCTGACTATACAACGTAGACAGCATTTCTCAGTTTCTAAAGGTGGAGGGCACAAAGGCTCAGCAGAGGTGTTGCTTTCTCAGTCGGGGTCACAGCTGATAACTGAGTTGCACTTGAACCCAGGACAGAGATTCAGCAACAATGCTCCATTACTTAGTTTTTATTTACTTTTTTTTTCTTTTGAGACAAGCTCTCTCATTGTATTTAGTCAGGTTTTGAACTGGTGAACCTTTTGCCTTAGCCTCCTAAATGCTGGGATAACAGGTATGTACCACTATGCTTGGGCATTACTTATTTAAATTAAATACTAATTAATAAATTATTATTAGTGTGTATATGATGTATGAGTACATGAGTGCCACAGCACATACATGGAAATCAGAAGACAACTCTGTGGAGTCAGTTCTCTCCTTCCACCATGTGGAGTCTGGGGATTAAATTCAATAGAGGAACAGGGGAAGGCTTGTGTATCAAACATGTTTACCCGCTGAGCTATCTTGCCTGGCCTTGGGTATTATTTCTTAAAGTTCACTCAAGGAATGCCATAACATAATCTAAATGTAAAGAAAAGACAACATGTCAAGAGTTCTGAAACAAAAAGGAAGAAGGAAACCTCGAGGAAAGTAAGAAGCTTGAACAGTGTGCAGCTCCTTACCATGTAATACCCTGGCAGCAGCTTCTGCAGGAACTCCGCTTCTTTATGCTGAACGGTTTTGATGATAAATTCATCATCACTGGTCAAGAAAAACAAGGATCCACTGGCTCCAGGGTTGGACAGTTCTATCAGAGGTTCACTGCAGATGGAGTACTAAAAGAGTAAATAAATATTTTATGAAAATATTTACTTATTTATGTATCTTGTGCTGAATTGAACTTAGGGGCTTGCATTCTTCCATTGAGCCATACTCCCCAGTTCTAAGTAAGCATTTAAAAGTATGCTTTGGGGGTTGGAGAGACAGCTCAGTGGGTAGAGTGCTTGCTGTGCAAGCATGAGGACTTGAATTTGAACCCACAGCACCCATATATAAAGCTGAGCATGATAGCCTCCATCTGTAATTATAGCACTGGGGAGGCAGAGGCAGGGGGATTGCTGGAGCTCACTAGCCATCTGGTCTTGCTGAACTAGTGGGCTTCAGGTTCAGTGAGAAAAAACAAGTTGGAAAGCCACAGAGGAAGACTTTAAAACATCAGCTTCTGGTCTCCACACATATATATACGCTTATGCACATGAATCTACACACATGTGCACATATGAACATAAAGACATGGCCACACCACACACAATCAAAGTGTATAGTTTCATTTCTGTTTCATGTTACACATGCACACATATACACACATACACACACATTTAAAAAAATACATGTTAGCCAAACATGGTGAGACAGGCCTATAATCACAGAACTGGGGAGGCAAGGAACAAGGATCAGTTTGAGATCATCTGGACTACAAAGTGAGACCCTATCACACACACAGAAAAAGAGTACATTTTATGTGATGGTTAGTTTTAATTGTCAACTTGGCACAATCTAGAATCACCTGGGAAGAGAGCCTCAAGGAGGGGGTGTCTAGATTAGGTTGACCTGTGGGCATATATTTGGGGAATTGTCCTGATTACATTCACTGATGTGGGAAGACCCAGCCCACTGTGGGGGGCACCATTCCCTGGGTTTGTATCCTGAATTGCATAATCACAGAGAAAGTAAGCTGAGTGTTCGAATTCATTCTGTCTCTGCTCTTGACGGTGGACTGATCTCCCTGCAGTGATGGACTATAAGCTGGGTTTATGAGCTGAATAAGCCCTTTCTCCCTTATGGTTACTTCTGTCAGGCTATTTGCCTCAGGCATCCTCCAGTCTCCCCTTCTCCAGCTCTGGGATTATAAGGGCATGCTACCACACACAGCATTTAAAATTTTATTGCATCTTTGAGAATTTCATGTAATGTATTTTGATCAAATTCACTTTCCAGTCTCCCCTTAATTCTTCCCAGATCCACTCCATCTCCCTATCCCCCAAAACTTCTTGTCCTCTCCTTTTCCCCCCCCAAAACTCATTGAGTCCAATTTTTCCTGCCTATATACTCCTGAGTGAGGGGGTATCCAATGGAGTGTGGTCAACCTACCAGGGGCCACATCCTTAAAAAAAGCATTCTTCTTCCCCCCGCAGAAGCCGTCAACTGTCCATAACTCTTTGGATGGGGTGTGTGTCGGGGGGGGAAGGCTAACAAATCCCTTCCCTCTTCATGCTAGAATGTTTGTTAGCTTGATCTTGTGTAGGTCTTGTGCAGGCAACCACAGCTGCAATGAGTTCAAGAGTGTAATTTCAGTGATCCCGCCATATCCAGAAGACACTGTTTCACTTTGGTCTTCTCTAACCCTTAGCTCTTACAATATTTCCACCTCTTTTGGTCCCCAAGCCTGTGTGTATGTGTGTGTGTGTGTGTGTGTGTGTGTGTGTGTGTGTGTGTGTGTTATTCACGTCCATTGTGGCTATGCACTCCACAGACACTTATTCTCTGCACTGTGACTAGTTGTGAATTTCAGCATTAACCACTGTCTATTTCTCAAAGAAACTTCTCTGATGAGGTCTGAGAGCTTCACTAATCTATGGTTGTGTACAGAGATACAAATTTGGAGAGAAGTTTGATAGTATGTCCACTTAGCACAATAATAGGTTCACCTGTGCGGCCTATGAGCTCCTTAACCATTAATTCCTGGCCTTCCTGTGGAGTGGACCTTAAATCCAATCAGAAAGCAGTTAGTTACCCCTCATGACATTTGTGCCACTATTGTACCCATGGGCATATCTTGCCATGTGGGTCATTATTGCAGTTCACAGGGTTCATAGCTGGGTAAAGCTGTTGATAATTTCTGCCAGCCCCCAGCAGCCTTCCAGTTCTATGAATGCTAGGCAGCAAGGAAGAAGCTTCCTGTCAGTACCAAGTTGATTTCACCACATTCAGCATTTTCAAGTGGGTTCTGGGGATCAAACTCAGGGCCTCATGCTTTCAAGGCAAGTACTTTACTGACTGAGTTATCTCCCCAGCCCAGCTAAGGTACTCTTAATGCATATATTTCTGTGGAGGATGAGTACATGATTAAAGCATCTTGACTTTTTAAAACAGGAAGCACTGTCTACAAGCTTTGAAAGGAGGCTCCAAGTAAACTCAGGAGGCTTTCTGGGAGATTTTTATTTATCTTCATGATTCTCTAATGAGAAGGAGACATGCTCTCCCCACTGTCAGTATCACATGATGGAATCAGGGATCACTGTATCTATTCAGTGAGAAAATTAAATAGGAATCCAGCTTTCAGCAAGTACCCATGAAGCCCCAGCTGAAGGTAGGGTGCATGCATGAGTGCATCACCTAAACACAGAACCGCTGTTCTTTCCAGTGTCCTCACAGGGAACACTGCACTCTCAGTGCATCCACAGATGACATTACATCTGTATCCGCAGTCCACATCTGACTCTAGGGATCCAGACCTGTTTGTCTAACATTATTAACAGATATCTCTACTTAGTCCCATCTCAACACTTTACATGCAAAAAGTTTACAATCAAATTCATTTCTAGGCTATGGTTAAATTATATGACCTTGTCAAAATGAGAAAGGTCTTTTGTTTTTTTGGGGAGGGTCTTTTTGAGACAGGGTCTCCCTGTGGCCTCAGCTGGCCTGGAACTTGCTATGTAGACCAGGCTGGCCTCCATCTCACAGAGATTCTCCTGCCTCTGCCTCCCGAGTGCTGGGATTAAAGGCATGTGTCACCATGCCCAGCTGAGAAAGGTTTTTGTTACCATGGCAAAATATATATTGTGGCTCTGGACCAAAATATAAGGTTGATGGGTAGAAGAAGGGCTGGGATCCAATCTCTAGTCTTCCTCAGACAGGTAAGAGTAATTGGACAGGGCACATCTTGCACAATGGAAATGGTGACTCTAGATCATCTGACTTCTATCCTTTGCTTTTCCTCTCTTTCCCTCATTTTAGAGGATGAAACACTATTTGTCCTATTCTCTAAGCCAGAAATGTGGGGATCATCCTTCATACTTCACATTTCCTCATTCATATTCAAATGCTTTTGTATTTTGTCTCCTATTGGCAGACCATCTCCTCTGCCAATACCCCAAGTTCACTGTTATTGACTCATGCCTGGTCACTATGGTATGCCACTGGTCTCATCTCCCACTCCTGTCCCATCCAGTGCCATCTCCTATGGAAACCAGGGGTCTTTCTACATGCAAATCGGATCATGTCCTTCTCATCTTTCCATGGTTCTTGACAGAATGTTCACGACCATGAGTGGCCTAGTGCTGCTCTCCAGCCTCGACACGAAACAGATCCTCCTTGAAGCTTCAGCTCTGGAAAGGCAGTGAAACTTATTCTCATCTTCTCAAATGTGCCATGTAGTCTTGACTGCAGGGTTTTTCACTTTGTACTTTTGCAGTGCTAGGGATGGAAGCGTGCCAGGCAGAGATTCTACCAGTGAGTTACATTCCCATCTAGTCTTTTTGTATTTTGCCTTAAACAACCCCATAATTCAAGATAAGGGTCTGATTACATTTTCATGCATTTTGGTAACCAGTTTTTCCAATAAAATTAGCATAGGAGACAGTTGTTATCCCATGACCCCCCATATGTGTTCTTAGGATTGTTGAAAATCCATCAACAGTACACGGGAAGGCTTATTTCTGAGCTCTTATTTGATCAGTTTGTATTGTCTAAGACAGGGTCTCCCTGTAGCTGCAGCTGGCCTGGAACTTGCTATGTAGCCCAGGTTTGCCTTGATCTCACAGAAATCTCCCTGCCTCTGCCTCTGCATTCTGAGTGCTGGTATTAAAGGCATGTGCCATCATGCCTGGCTTGACTTTTTATTCTTAATTTAATTTTTTTGTATTTTTATGTGTATAAGTGTTTTGTTTGCATGTATGTAAGTGCACAATGTATGTGTGTTGCCTTTGGAGGTCAGAAGAGGGTGTTAGATCCCCTGGAACTGGAGTCACGGATGGTTGTTAGCCTCCATGTGGGTGCCGAACTCGGGTCCTCTGCAAGGGTAGCCAGTGCTCTTGTGCACTGAACCATTCTCTAGCCCTACTTTTAATTTTTCTGATACAAGGTCTTGGTTTGTAACCCAGGCTGGCCTTGAACTCATGATCTTCCTACCTTAGCTTCCCAGGGCTAAGGTAATCACCACCACACACAGCTGGCTTACACTCTTAATTCTCTTTTGTCTAACAGCAAGAACCCAACACTTACATGCAAGGTAGGGATAAGATAAGAAAACAAAAACTGCTGCCAGGCTGTGGCTAGGACACCATAAAGCCAAGAGGAAGCAGAGAGTTCTTGTCCAGCTGTGTGAGCAAAGTATCCACATGAAGGGGAACCAGGGAACAGGGATGGGAATTAACTGGTGTTTGTAAAATTGTGACTCTTGCAGGCTTGAGTTATATGACACTGAGTAAGCTGGTATGTTGGAGCCTCAAGGAAACCTCCCTCTAAAATAAAGGTAAAAACATCAACCTGAAAATGTTTAAGGTGAATGCTCTTCCCTGACACAGTGACCACTATGGATGTAGATGAAAGTGGCAATCAGTCAATGCTCACTTTCCCTGGGCAGGGTAGGAAGAGCTGGTTCTACTCTCACCTCAGTAACACTAAGCTTTTCAGACAGACTCCTATGAAAAGATGCTATCCCCCAAATATACTAAGACATCCTGAAGAAAGCAAAAAAAAAAAAAAAGTTGTGCCTGTTGTATAATTATGAATGCAAAACCCTGGTGTGAACCCCAAGCTCTTATAAAAAGTG